CTATTAATATAATATTATTATTTGTTATTAATACCACCACTAATACTATTGTTAAAATTTTTTTTAAAGGAATGAACCTTTTTTTCACCACGAATATTTTTATTTTTAAATTTTTTGTATCACGGATATTCACGGATATTCCTCCTCGATATCCGTCGAATATCCGTCGATCGACTGTGAGATAAAATTGATATCCGGATAGTCGCGGATATCCACGGATACTATCCGACGGATATAACCACTAAAAAAAACTAATTGTGACTCCAATCGATCAATTTTCATATGATGCATGTCAATATAATTCGATAGATCTTGAACTGGCCTGAATTAAAAATCATATTTATTATTGATCACGTGCTTGACATAATTAAATTTACTTTGGCACCTTCTATATAAAGTGGGAAAAATTTTAGGTGGAAAGATATCACGCGAAATTAATTAGTTTTGACCGATGAAAATTTATTTTTTATTAATTTAAGGTATAAATAGTAGTTGTGTTTTTAATAGAGTGCCCAGAAACATGCATTGCATGGTAGCGTCATATAAAAATTATCGCGACACCTTCCTTTGTGACCACTTTTTTCCTTTTTTTTTGGATTGCTACATGGAACACTAATCATTTGCATTTGTTTCTTTTTGGATTAACTTGATTTTATTAATCCCTTGAATTTTCAAAAGATTTTAATTGAAAAAGAAACCGTCAAGGAAGAAGAACAGAAATAAAAAGGGGGACAAAGACCATGAATAAAATAGCAGAAACTATCGAAAAAGAAAACCATAGCTAAAAGACATTGGAGAAGTGATGTGGGTGGACAAGTAAAATTTGACCAATAAAGAAACTTATTGAAGCAGGACAATTTCCTATGATTGCTTTAAAGGATCAAACTTTAGAGGAAGCTTTACTGCCAGTTTTTTGATGAAAATATTGAACTATTCAATATAAGGAAATGTATTTATCAAAATTTATCCACGAAACTAAAAAATTATTAGACCCTTTATTTTCTCTTTTAGATTTAATTAACTCTAAACTGTTCAATCAAGGAGGATAAACATCATTATCGATCTTGTTCCCTTAATTTGGTCTTATTGACTTTGTTACTAGCTCGAAAAATGTAAGTGGTATCGGGAAAATGTAAGCGTTAAAACAAATGACAATTTTGCAATGATATAGGTGATAGTAAAGTTGCGATGTCAAACATTTTGATTCTTGAATCTTTGTAATAATATAGTGATGTTCACCTTGTTGCATCATGCCTCAATTAATAAAAACTGATTATCCAAATCTTTTGAAATGCATTAATCATCTTACACAACAATAATGACCGTCTTGGCTATTTTGGCCAATGTACGATAATTTTATAATTATGAAATTTTGGCCGTTTTGCCATGACCAAATGCCAATTATATTGAGTTGTTTGTTGTGTGTGAAAATGGAAATTTATGTGAATTTGCAATTAACGCGAAACTCAAATAACAAATTTTTTTCATAAATATATACTTCTTTTGAAACTTGACATGATTCCTTTTTTGTCTTCTATCCAGTTTCGTAACATTTATTTGTTACTGTTCTTCTGTATAACCTTTTATAAATAAAATTAATAAAAACGATCTAATTTTTAATTGGCCCGGTTAAAAAAATTAACCGTTTATTTAAATAGTACTAGTATATCAGCGCGCAGTATGTTCACGCATCGACGCTAAAGTTTCAACTAGTACAAATTTAGAAAACTCCATTATATCGAGTAGCATACTGTGGATTTCGAATTGATCACGTAAGGAGTATATATATACCATTTTTGGTATGACATGCAGCTATTAACGTGACTATCTTATCCTAAACAGGCGGATTGGGGGTATAAACTTTGAGACCTCCTCCCTCTCTAATTATATCTTCCATACTAATAACATAATAAATATCATCTAATAATAATACCAAATATAGTAAGTATAAATAAAGATAACCTTTTGTTATATAACAAAATAATCCCTTTAATTTCTAACCAATGAAACCAACAATCCAAGTTGTTCTAAATCAATCAATTCAATTCGTTCATACATTTTATTAGAAAAAATCATTCCAAATGCCAAGATGTTGAATTCCATATTTACTGTTTTACAAAGATAAAAATACAAAAGATAATGACACTAGACATTTTTTATTGAAAGAATGAAAAATGATTGATTGTTACACTAGTGATAAAATTGTCTTTTCTTTTTTTTTATTTATTAGGAAAAAGGAAAAACAAAAAAGCTAGTTGCTTAAAATTCATCGTTAAAAATTTTTTTTTACAAAAATAATTTTGATAGAGAACAAATAAATGAACAATAAGAGTGGCGCCATATACATAAAAAAATTCGTCGTGTAACTAGTACAAAATTAGAAAAGCAATTATCGTATAACGTTACACCAAATCCCCAACATACAATTTTTATAAATATTCTATTCTTGGGAATTGAAATTTAACTGTGTAAATTTGAAATTTCTATTCTCACTTAATTGTGTTACTTTTGTTTTATTTATAATATAAACTTTTTACTTTCTATTTAGTCCTATATAATTTTTTTTTCTTTTGAGAAAAAGTCAATAATAACCTTTTTTATTCAAAAAAAAAAAGTTTTTTTTTTCTTTCTTTTTTTTCACCTCCTTTTCCTGTTTTATATTAGTATTTATATTAAATTTATATATTTCTCATATATTTAGAAAGCCATAGATTTTTTACTCCTTTGCATATATATATATATGTTATAAAAAGTAAAATAAAACATAATAATTTACAAAACATCAATGGTTGCAATAAATTTATATAGGATATTTGAACTATCCACAGCGACAACAGCATGTGCTTTATTCATATTAAATAGTCTTTTATTTGTTAACTCACAATATGCAAATGAAGGTCAAAGCTCATTAAATGATGTACAACCACTTAGAGCATGCAATGGAACAGATATTGATATAAGAGGTTATGATGGTTCTTGCAATAATATAAAAAGATCTAATTGGGGTGTACCGAATCGTGTGTTTGACCGTGTTTGGTTTGATCCCAAGTATGAAGATAATTTCACCGGAGCTCCATTTTTGAAAGTTGATTCTCGTATGATTTCAAATTTATTATCCGATGATGGTCTGCCAGTTGATTATGCCGGTAACCCGTTACAGGATGGTTTATTATCTGATGTAAGAAAATCAATGTTTGAAATTGTAAGTATATATATTTTTATTTTATTCTAATTTAATTTATTTTATTTTATTTATAAAAAGTAACAATTAATTAATTATTCAATATTTTGTTTTACAAAAGTTCTTTGGACAATTTATTAACCATGACCTTGAAGATTCAGCTTTACAAAATGGTATACCAGGATATGCAATAGCAGACGTAACTCAAGATCCAATATTCAAAAATACAGCAAATAATCCATTTAATCCTAGTCAAACTCCATGTAAATATTAATATAATGATAATGATAATTATGATTACAGTAATTTGATAATAATTTTCTATTTTTACTTTACAGTTATGATGATAACCCTGTCATTGGGTCGTATACTTAACAACACATTTTTCCCAGCAAATACTGCTAACGCATACCTTGACCTATCTAACATATACGGTAATGACTCTACCATGAACACAGCACTTCGTGATCCAAATGGTCGTGGTTTAATGCTTCTCGAGGATTATACAACAGACGGTGGTGCATATAATACAAAATTAGTAAATGTGACGGTTAAGCAAATGCCTCCAAGTCCTCTTTCCACCGACATTTTTCCAAATCTCACTCCTCCTCCAATAAACGCATCTGACGCCATGGTTAGCGGTGACACCCGTTGTTCTGAAAATATTCAATTATGTATAATGCACGCAATTTGGATAAGGGAACATAATTTTTGGGCAAAAAAATTATTAGCTGAAAATCCTACTTGGGACGACACAAAATTATTTGAAAATGCTAGACGTGCAACAATTGCCGAGTATCAAAACGTAATATTTTCAGAATACCTTCCTGCCTTATTAGGTTTTAAAATGCCACCTTATTCTGGTTATGATGAAAATGTTTATGCCGATACCTCTGCAGTATTTGCCGGCGCTGCTTTCCGTTACGGTCATTCAAACATCCGACCTTATAATATTGTTGATGGATGTACTGGTAAACCAATTGTCATCCATCCCGACTACAGCTATCCAAATACTCATCCAAATCGTTTCATGTTTGTTGGCAAAACTTTTCCTGTCAGTCCTGTACCTGGTTCCGCATTAACTCGTAAAGTGTTGGATTACACACCTGCTAGAATTTTGGCACTTGCGTCTGGGACGCATGGTGACGGTGTAGATAATGTTATTGTTAGCATGTTAAGAGAGCCAACTGCACAATTTGATTTAAAGATCACTAGTGCTCTAAGAAACATCCCTGGTGTCACCGATTTATTTGCAATTGATATTTCTAGAGGTAATATATATATATATATATATATATATTAGATTTGTACGCGTTAAAATTTTTTCTTGCTCACACTTTTACTCTATCAATTTATCAAAACAGGTCGTTTTATGGGTCTTGCAGATTACAACACATATCGTACAGTATATCATCCAGCAGGAAGTGTCTACTCCAATGCAGCATGCGATATAAATGCAGCAACTGATTCTGTAGCATGTTTTCAATTAATTACTAAAGATGTGAAAGTTGCCACAAATCTTCAACAATTATATAAAAAAGTCAACGCGATGGACGCTATTGTTGGATTCTTTGCTGAGGACAGAGCAGCCGTAACAACTCCACTACCGCCTACAATCACTAATATAATAAAGGATGAATTTGATAGAAAACGTATCGGTGATCGTTTCTGGTACGAGGGTACTACGTTCACCGATGCAGAAAAAGCTCAAATCAAAGCTACAACCATGAAGCAAATTATTGAAAGAACCACTGGTGTTAAAAATGTTCAAATTAATCCCTTCAAAGCACCTATTGGAAATAATTTACCAACTGCATGTACAGCATAATTATTTATTTTTTTTTAATTAGACAAAAAAGACTTCAAAAAAAAAAACATTTTAATTAAACATTTTTCATCCTTTTATTTAATTTTTAATGTACACACTTTTCTTCCTCCAAGAGTTTCTTTTCCGTAGTATATAAGTGCTAGACACATTATTGTAATATTACAAGTTTTGTTTACAAAAGAAAATAGATAATTTTATATTTATTGTTATTCTTAATTTTCTTATTATATTATATGTTATATATTGTAGTGATGGTTTTGAATATATTAATAAAAATAATCGTTGAAGATTTTAAATGGATGATTTTTATATATGTTTAATTTGAAAAAAAAAAAAAATTTTTGTTATTACATTATATAAATTTTTGTTTTTTGTTTTACATTTCTTCATCATCGATGTTTTCTTCAGGGAAATCACCAACTTTAACTTTATTTGGTCGAACAAATGCTCCATGTTTTGATGAACAGTTAAAATATTTTTCACCTTGAACACTGTTCCCACCCCGAAAAATAAAAATTTTTTTTATACAAGTATTAGTGTTAATATACAATAGAAAACATTTAATTTATATATATATATACACATACGTTCCATCATGTTTACCAACAGGTTCATCATACTCAACACCGACCCAATAACCTGGTTTAAACTTCGTTTCTCCTATTATTAACATCAATAGTCATCATCATTCAATAAATGGAATATTTATTATAGTAATAAAATAACTTTTTTCCACTCTTTTTTACAACTTACCAACATATCTAACTGTTCCTCTTCTTTTCAAACCATCTTCACCCCCATCACCAAAATCAATTTCACAACGATCTCCCACTTTAATTGATTTTGCCTCTTCTTCATATGTATAAGTCGAATCTGAAGTTGTTGATTTTGCTTCATCTGAAAATCTTCCAAATTTATTACGTCGTTTAAATGCAAGTATAGAATCTTTTTTTTGATTATTATTGTTAATAATTGATTAATATTGGTTAATTTTGATTGAGAATTAAATTCTTTAATTTGAATTTATCATACTATACTATACACAAGCATTTATATTATATATACCTGTACGTTTTTCATATTCATCATCTGGCAATTCATATTTTTCTACTTGAGACAAATCATTAAATTTTAGCTTATTACTATTAGGACTAGTATCAATAACCTATAATCAAATCGAAATGAATAAATTACATTAACAAAAAAAATGATTTGCAAGTGGATCACTAATATATAAATCTTCCTAATGATTCCCTCTTGGGTTTCTTGTGGAATATAAATACATGTATGTGTAAGTTGTGTGTACCTTTAATGTCATATAATTGTCAATTGGAAAAGCTCCCAACATAAAATCATCTCCTTCAACAGTAGTGACAAGCGTGTCACCATTATAAAGTTGCAAGATTTGTGAACCAACCGATACACCAGTTATTGGTTCAAGTTTATTCTAATTAAAAAGAAAAAAAAGAGTTTGGACGTGGATGATGTGTGCGTGAGAGAAAGAGAGAGATGGATTGAAGATTTACAATAAATTTAATTTATAAAACATTATTCTTATTATTTATATTATTAATTACTTTTAATTGACTTATGGTGATACCTTTATCGAAACGTCGTTCAGAAGACGCGTTATCACTTTGAACAAAAATCGTTATAACCGACATGATGAGGAAATAAAGAAAATAACGCGCGCATAAATTTTTTTTTTAAATTTTATACTTATTCGTTACGTAGTACAAATTTATTATTATACTTATATATTATATTTGTACTATATATTATATATATATTTGACAATATACTTGTCCAATTATATTTGTTTTCAGTTTTAGGAAAGATGGCGAGTGTTAATCGAGGCCTCGCCCGTTGACGACAGTAATGATTTCGGCAATGATAAAAGGTCCTCCTCCTTCATTATAAAGATTGTAATAAAAGCAAGTTTACATGGAGGAGGGCATTTCTTTCTATAGCTGGTACATATTTATTATGATGGTTGTGATTTGTTCATGTATAAAATTAAAAATGTGATACAATCAACCAACAAATATGGATCGAGATATTTTTTTGTGTTAGATTATTATTATGTCGATTCCACCTTCCATTTGCATCGGTTATTGATTTGTTTTATTAATTAATATTTTGAAGCACACGCATTTAATAAAATAAATAAATAGTAATATAAATATTAATTAATTTCCAATTTTCCATTATATTAATTTTTCGTGCCTTTTTAAAAAAAAATAATTTTTTTTTTAAAAAATATACATATTTATTTGATAAAAGACTTGCAATAAAAAAAAAAAAAGATGAATTCGTTAACCTTTATTATCAAAAATCGAGCATTACTTTTATTAGTTTCATTTTTACTTTTTATATATGTGTTATTTAATCGTGGCAATGTAGACATTGACGAGTACGATGATATTAATAGCGATAAAGTTAATACAACTAAACGACGACCTAATGATAATTTTATTGTCAAGGTAGAAAAAATTGAAAAAAATTGCGGAAATTGGAAATATATTATGGTAACAGATTGTCTAAAATATCTTGATAAACATGAATCAGATTATCTTGTACCATATAATACGATCGATGGCGGATTAAAACCACCATCGTGTATATGTGATGTTGATGTTGGTGATTTTGTCTATGATATTGGGGAGAATACGAATGTGACTGAAAAAGATGAAGGAGTGATAGCAGAAGAACCGGAACAGCAAAACCCATTGTCACCAAAAATTATGATTTTTCATGTATATTGGAAAGGAATAATAACTGATAAACTTGCATTAATGATGAAATCATTTATATATACTCAACCACTCGACTGTGCTAAACTTTATGTCTGGATAGAGGATCTCAAGGAAAATTATAAAGAAAATGCGAATATGAAATTATTAAAAAAATTTATTCCAAAACACATTGAATTGAGAAATTGGAACACCAAGGAACAACTTTCATCAATTGATTTATTTAACGGATGGGATAAAATATTTGCCGGCGAGGGAACTGTTTCATTTAGTGATTTGGTTAGGTTTGCTTTGCTTTATAAATATGGTGGAATCTATGTAGATGCAGACGTATTATTATTACGTGACATGCGACCATTTTATTATTCAAATTTTGAATTTTCTTATCATTGGAGCTACAAAGATGAATATAACACTGCCATACTACGATTATGGAAAAACTCAGATACTGCAGCATTGGTGATAAAAGGTGCAATGATTAATGATTTGGATTTTCATCCGTATAGGATCAAAAATTATTTATCAGGAGGAAAAGCTGATGACAGCATGGCTTTGAAAGAAGCCAATAAAAAACTTTATATGTTACCGGTCGGATTATTTGATCCTTTGTTCTTGAAGCATGATTTAAAACAAGTAGATTCAATATTATCACCAAATCTTTTCAGCACGAGTCAAATGTTTGAGGCCGATTTGATTGAAAATGAATTTCCCGATGTCAATCTAACAAAACCAACTTCACCTTTGGTGCTTCGTAATATAGATTATTTCTTCCGTGGTGCTTATGCTTATCATTGGCATAATCATTGGGAGAAGGAAATTCCATTTTCATCTTGGATGGGTGTAATACAGACGGCTTATAATCAATTTATGGAAGGAAAAAGAAGTAATTTATACAATGAATTATTGTAATTTATCATAATATATATAGATTTCTTAACATAATATTTTAAAATTACATATACAATAACAATATTAATAGACTATATAATAATAATTTCTTTTTTTTTTCAACAATAATAATTTCTTTTTTTTTCAACAATAATTTATTGTAATGTTAAGGTTTAAAATTTTCTCAGTATAATAATACAACTTGTAAATATCACTTTAAAGAAATAAAATTAACACTTTTTTTTAATTGAACAATAATTAGCATGTGAATATAATCATTATAATTACCAATGATATAGTGAAGCTTGGGGAGATTTGTAAATTTTAATAATCTGTTGGTATAAACGGCAGTTTTTTGTAATACAATTAAAATATAAATACAAAATACATCAGTTCAAAATCATATTCACACAGGAGTTGAGCGCTTACCTGTCATCCATTCTACAGTATTATTTGCAAATGCAGGTCCTAATCTTAATTGCAACGAGTTAAATTATTAAATGGCTGTTGACCATAGAAATTGTTTTTGTGTTTGCCAAGTATTTCACCAATATTCGGATTCTTTCCTTATATGAGTGAACGGGAGATAGTTTAAAACCATATTGTAAAACTAGGTAGAAGCGTACAAATTCAATATTGAAATTACAACATTATCTAAATGCCTTATCATCTTTTCTTCTTATGTAATAATGATTTTTTTATACTTGTTTAATGGTAATTAAGATTGTTCAGAACATTCTGATTCCATTTCTACTAGTGATATCCTTGAAATTTTTGAAAGAGAGTTTTTTTTTTGATATCAAGAATCAAAAGGTGCAATTGTTATATCGATTGGTACAGATATCAAACTAATTTCAACGTCAGTAAGTCAAGAACTACGTCAATATTGCATTTCTGTATTCAATAAAAGGAGGAAGGATCATGAATGTGATGCTTACCTGCCACCATAGTTTTTCTCTCGAAATACAAAGGTAAATGTCATTTATTTGTTTTTCAAGGTACAGGATTATTACGCGGTCAATTTATTTGATCGCAGGAACCATATGTAAAACTTATCTCTATATACGAATGTAAAATTAGGAATTCATCTTTTCTGGTGAATTTATTATCAATTAAACTATTTAACAACCAAACTATGCCAAACTTCATATGTATCATTTGTCAATCACAAAGAAAAGAATTAAATTATTACGGTCAAATTCTTCACTAGATGAAGTGAGTTCCAATTGTCTTGCGGTCATCATAAGTATACTTGAAAGTGATAAACATGTCTTGGGAAACTTTAGATTCTGATTACTTTATCTATACAGAAATATAATAATCTGATGAATCACCTGATAATTTAACCGGATGGAATAATTAATTTTGTATTTGATTATTTTCCATTTTTTATAAGATAAAGGTGCTGTAACAAGACAAAATAATAGGAATTCACGATTATTATTATGATGTTCAAAAATTACCTGCAAATTTCTTAAATGAATAATAATATTTATTTTTTCGTGATAATTAATAATATATCTTTTGCTTTCGATGTAATTATGACCACCTTTTCTTTCGTCTTTTTGACTTGAAGCTTTTTGATAATTTTGGGTATTGATAGTAAGTCTAGAGTTTCTTCTATATATATATGATCTACTTATTATATGACACAATAATAGTGACGTAATAATCATCGACATTTTCGAATATATTAATATTAATTAAATAATTAATATACTACTAATACTAATACTAATATTTGTTGTAATATTTATTATTTATAAAAAAAATTTTTTAATTTTTGTCGTTTTAAATTAATTAAAAATCTTTCCTTGAACAAATTCATATACATATATATATAGATCAGTAGAATCAACCTTTTTTTTACATTTGATTGAAAAAAATGGCCGTCGACAGCAGTAGTTCTCGTAACTCGCCAGATTTTAAACAAGAAGAAGAATCAATGCAAGAGTATGATGCATTAAAAGATAACAATTCAGCACATGATGAAGGGTATAGTATTCAACTTTCAATTCATCATTAGGTTTTTTTTTGTTTTCCCATAAAGATTTCTTTTTGTTTTGCAATACAAAAAAACAAGACAATTATAATAGCATATTGCATAGCAAGCAAAGCTATAAGATAGATGTAATATAAAATCAAATAGTATAATTAAGTAATTAAATTGTATAGTAAGTTATACAGTAGTAAGAGATGAGGAATTGTTGAAAAGTAGCAATGAGATGCTGTTTCCTATATCTTATTAATTAGGAAGTTTAGAATTATGTATGAATATGAGAGAGAGAATATGAGAGAGAGAAATAGAAGAAAGTAGAAACAAAAGAATATTCTTTAATGGAAAACAAGAAAAAATTTTTGAAATATAATTTATTTTTATGTGGTTAGGTTTACTTTTTATTTTATAGTTTATTAAGATAAAATACAACTAATAGGTTTTTTGCAATTCTTTCTTTTTTAATTATATATATACACACCTATCATACATACATACAATTATAATATAATGAATAAATATATATATAATATAAATATAAATATAATCAATATCTGCTCCTTAATCGTATCAATATTGAATACTGTAGAAAAATGTTCATAGGCGGTCTTAATTGGGAAACAACAGATGGTAAGATTCTTGTATTTAGCATTAAATAAATATAATAATAAAATATATATAGCACTTTTAAATTATCTTTACATTTCCCTGTCTCTCTCTCTCTTCATAAATTCTCTCTCTCATATATATATATATTATTAAATATTAAATATTAGTCAATAAATTAGATTGCTCATTATTAGCTAACGTTGATCTATGTTGTTATTTAGTTAATATAATATAAAGAGAGAAATTTACGAATATCATTTTTTCTAATACATGATTAATAAAAATATCTAATAAAATTATATTGTGTTTTATTATAACGATAATTATAATAATAATAGAGAGCCTTAAATCATATTTCTCACAATTTGGAGAAATCAAAGACTGTGTTGTTATGAGAGATCAGAATACGATGAGATCTCGTGGATTTGGTTTTCTGACTTTTATAGATCCTTCTAATGTTGATAAAGTGCTGGCAACTGATCATCAATTAGATGGAAAACTTGTAAGTAAATTTTTATTAAAAATGAAAATTAATTAATCATCATTCATTATAATAATATTACAAAATATAATAATCAATTAAAAAATCAGATTGATCCAAAACGAGCAATCCCTCGTGAAGAACAAGAAAAAACAGAAAAAATATTTGTAGGTGGAATAGCACCTGAAGTGACTGAAGAAGAGTTTAAAGAATATTTTTCACAATTTGGGGTTGTCAAAGATGCAACGTTGATGGTTGATCGTGATACTGGTAGACCTCGAGGATTTGGTTTCATTACTTTTGAATCATCAGAGCCTGTTGAAAAAGCAATGGCTAGAACTGATCTAAGCCTTCAAAATAAGATGGTATATCAAGATTAAATTTTATTATTTATCTTGTATTTATTTATTTTTTACTAACAAATTATTCTATAACATACATATATTCTCAATCACCCAAATATAGGTCGAGGTGAAAAGAGCTATGCCAAAGCATAAATCACAAAGAGTTAACATTTATGGAGGAGCGCCTTCAGTAGGTAATGCTATATCATCTGGCAATGGACCTATGAATGGTAGATATGGTTCATCCTATGGAATCGGTAAAGATGGAGGCTCAGCTGGATATTCTGGTATGGGTGGATACAATTCCGGTTCAATTAATGGTAGATATGGCTCATCTTACGGAATGGGTGGCAGTGGTAAAGACGGGGGCTCGGCTGGATATTCTGGGATGAGTGGATACAATTCCGGTTCAATCAATGGTAGATATGGTTCTCCTTACGGAATGAGCGGTGGCGGTAAAGATGGAGGCGGCTCAACTGGGTATTCTGGAATGGGTGGATACAATTCCGGTTCATATCCTGGTAGTTATAGTGCATATAATAATTATCCAAATTATGGTTATCCCAATTCTTATCCCGACAGTTATCACCCATATAATGCAATGACACATGCATATTATTCTTCAAGGTGGGTGAATTTCTTTTGATATTAATTGCATTATTATCTAAATGTTCAACTTTCTAATAATTAATATACACGTGATTTAATGATAGATATGGTGGATATAATAATAATTATGGAGGAGGTAGTAGTGGATATAGAGGATCAGGTAGTAGAGGAGGCGGTAGTGGTGGTGGGGCAGGAATGAATGCTGCAGGATCAGGAGAACCAATATACAGTAGACATTCAGTTCGTGGCCAACATAATTATCATCCATATGCACGATAAAAATATATGTATTTCTTTAGGTAAGAAAATATATATATTTGTATTATATATATAATTTTTGATAATTGAATATAATAATTTATTTAGCATTTAATTAGTTACTACTATTATCAACATCAACATCAACATTACCACCACCACCACCACCTTTATTATTACATCAATATTATAACTATTAACTATTATTATTATTATTATTATTATTTTTAATATATATTATTATTTATTATTATTATAAAATCCTAAATATTGGATTAGCAAATTAGTAAATAAATTTAATTTTATATTTTAGTAAAATAGTTTGTATAATATTACTAACATCATTACTAATATCATTTATCACTAATATTAATTTATTAATTTATTATTTAATTATTTAATTATTATTCTTATTGGGGAAGAATCTTAAAATAAATCCATTCATATACTACATAATATAAATACTATACATTACCATAGTATCATTTATTAATTTAATATTATCAAATAATTTATTTATTAGCATTAATCTTTAACTAATTAATATATTAATTACATACTATAGAGGAGCATATTCAATAAAATAATTTATCATGTGCTAAAAATAATAATCAATTAATATATTTTTTACCAATTAATAAAGTTTATTATTATAGAATAATAATAGATTAATAGAGTTTGTAATGATAATTATTACTAGACAAAATAAAATTCCATTAGAAATATAATTTTTTTCTAATTTTTTCCACATTTTCCATCCGAAATTCTTATTCTTATCCCTCATATTTGATAAAGTACATTTGAATTAATAAAATAAGTTTTTGTGTAAAGGTTACAATAAGTGAAAGAATTGGAAATCCACATTCGTAAAGTCTATCTACAAAGAATATCAATGGAATTCATTTATTTATTTACAATATTACATATGCCAATCAATCATTTCAATCATTCATAAAATTACTCATTGATTGAATCATTGTTTCTACCTATTCCTTTTGCGCATCTACTCCATTTCCAATAATTCAACTCTTTAAGCAATAGATGCTTTGTGCTTTGGTTGATTCCTTGACTCCATGTAGTTATGTTAACATTTATTAAAATATTTTCAGTTATCATCATCATTATAAACAATAGAGGGCATTATCTCCCAAATATTATTGTCCAAAAAAATTATAATATTGTTCCCATTATTCATTAACATTATTAAATATACCTTTTCGTAGAGAACATTACATTTTCTGTTTTTGATGTATTTTCAAATATGTTTACTAATTTTACCTCCAAGCGTTTTAAAAATATTACAAGTTTAAGCGTGTTTTTTAACAAAGTTAATTAACCAAAATATATATCTACTAATACCTTTCGAGAACCGTCATTTTGCCGATCTGATAATCCAATTTTTTAAATTAAATTTACTTTGTTTCTCAAGGTCTTATATACTAAAATTTGCCATTGGTTGTTGAAATGCTATGCCCTATCCTTCGTGTAGGGTATACATAACTGTTGGTTAATTTCTTGAAAAGCCAAATGAATAAATAGAGGAGAGATTATAGTAACCAACCAGTGTTTTCTCATCTTTTTCATTTCTTGAAGTGGGTTGTAATTGTTGCTTTAGTAATTAGCACTAGGTCTTAAAATCTTCATATCTACATATATATATGTTCAAAGTAGAAGCTCGTGATCAATTTCTTCCATTCATTATTTTTTTATATGAAGGTTAATTTCACCAAAAATTGGTAACTAACTGAATAATTGAATAATTTTTAATAATACATATTTAACTATATTTGTAAGGAAATTCCATGAATGCGGCAATATCAAAAAAAAATACTTTTTTTTACAAAATCGATTTTTTTTTTATATATATATATAATTAAATTATTTTCACAGTTTAAAATATTCACAATTTGATTTACTCCTTCAATTAAAAGGTAAATTAATGTCTCAAACAAATAATAATAGTTGTGGAAATGCAGGTCCTTCGCCAGGGTGTAATAGTAGTAATGGCATACTCGGTTCTACCAGTAATTTTAATGATAATAAAACTTCAATAGTCAACACGACTGTTTCTTCTTCTCCACAATCTTCAACCAATATGGTATTTAATATAATTATATATACATGATAATGTTTGAATTCTATATTAAATATTTCATATCAATCATTTGTTTTTTTTTAGACAAGTGGCACTTGCATGTGTTGTTGCAGGTAAAAAAATCTATGATTTTGATGATTTATAAAAATTTTTACATTTAAATATCTAAATTAACAAATTAATTAAACTTTTTTGAATATTTGATTTCAAGTAATCTTCGGTTTCCATGTTCAGTAAAATGTTTTCGATGTACTGTATGTCAAACAATAAACGATTTAGAACCGTTAAAACCGCGTAGTATGTATTTATATGAGAAAATGAGAGAAAGTGAAAGAAAGAATTTTTTTTTTTGATCAATCAACTTTGAAAAACATCCAATTAAAAAAACTTTCTTTTTTTAAAAAAGCTGAAACAGCTACAACACCGCCATTGACACTTGATTATCTAAAGAATATTATTAGTAAATGTAAAAATAACAATAGTAGTAATAATAATAATAATAATAATGATAGTGAGCGTGGCAAATCTACAAATTTTGAATTTTTAAATCAGACAATACAGAACGTTTTTAGTAATTGGTATATATTAAATAATAGTTTTCCAAATGTAAGATCATATATATCTTTTATTTTTTCTTTAAATTCATTGTATGCAAGAAAAAAATTAACTAATAATAATAAATATATCAAGAATCAACCCGTTAGTTTAGAAAATTGTGGAGTAGCATTGGATGATGTTAGACAAGCATATATAATCTTATTAGAATTGGTAATATTATTTAATTATTTATTCATAAATTAGAAAGTTTATATAAAAGAATCAAGTAAATTGACAAATCCCCCTTTTTTTTTAATTCTTAGCCTGTGTCTGTGATAAGAGCTATGATGCAATCAATCGAAAATTTATTGAAAAGACCTGGGAGGTAAAAGAAAAATTCTGTAGTGTTTGTAAGGAATTATATTTGTAAGAAATATTTGATGTAAAAAAAATAATATTAATTTCTAATTTAATTTATTTTCTGTTTTATAATATTTCTGAAAAGGATTTTAAAAACATGTGAAGATATAAAATTTCTGATGATAATATTAGAGGTATTAATTAATATTATATATTTGTGTATTTATATTACACTAATAATTAAAAATGTTCTTTTTTCAAATATAGAATACATTGTTGTCACAACATAAATTTGCTCAGGAATCTCAAAGACATCATAATATAGTTGAAAGAATTTTTGGTTTAATTTCAAATCTAAGTGTGGAACTTCGTCATTATTTGCTTAGTTGGTTTTCAGGGTTAGCTATATATAGTATAATAATAATAAATATATATATATATATAATCGTAGTAGTAAATAATAATATTTTAATTAACTTTTTTTAAAAAAATTATTTCAAGACTTCCAACAAATATTTTTAGGAAACGCATTGAACTGGTTAATTCATTTATAAGTTATCGATTGGCAATTCATTGTACCACCAATCAATATTCGCCAGATATATATGATTCAAAGGGAAAAATTAATATTACATCAAGATTAATATATGAACCAGACTGGGGAATTAATGCCGCAGCACAAGTAATGGAATTACTATGTACGTATTTATTTGTATATATGTGAGTGTGTGATATATATTATATATTGATATATATTTAATATCTTAAAATATCCAAATAATTTCTTGCCAATTTTTTCTACCCACCTATTAATAATTTACATTTTGGTAATCAATAGTTGCAGCAAATATGCAAAAAAGAAAAGTCTCTTTATCCGAATTTTATAATACAATGGTTGATTGTGTGGATAAAATATCAGATTTTGATATATGGAAACAAAAAACAGGGTTGGTTAATTTATTGGTTAGTTATAAAATAATCAATAATTATGATAATTTTATAACTAATAATATCTATTATTTTGATAGGAAATTTACATTTTGTAGTTTCCCATTCCTAATAAGTCTTGGTGGAAAGATGCAAATTTTAGAATTTGATGCGCAAAGACAAATGGAAACAAAAGCTAGAGTAATTAAAAATTAAATTAATTGGTCAATTAATAAAACACCTTATATAAAGCTTCGCGCAAGCAGGCTCGCAAGCCAAATAACTTGACAAGCTCGCAAGCCGGACAAGTTATCTGGCTCGCAAGCCGGCCTGCGAGTAGCTTTAGAGACAACAACAACAACAATAATAATTTTTTTCTCTAAAAATAAAACATTTATATATAGGAAGCATTTTTTACATTTCTTTATCAAAAACGTACATTCAAATCAGCATTAGAGTTAAAGATTCGGAGAGATAATATAATCCAGGATTCATTAAATCAAATATCAGAGAATGTAATTGATTTAAAGAAATCATTAAGAATTGTATTTATAGGTGAAGATGGTGTAGATGGTGGCGGGCTAAGAAAAGAATGGTTTCTATTATTAATAAGACGTTTGTTTGATCCACAATACGGTGAGAAGAAAATAAATATAATTAATATTGATATTTTTTGAATTTTAAATATTTATTTATTTATATATTTATTCTCTCTTTATCTCTCCCTCCCCAAAAAAATAAATAAACGAAGGAATGTTTACGTGGGATGAAGATTCGAAATATTGTTGGTTTAATCCAGCAAGTTTTGAAAATAGCGATCAATATTATCTTGTTGGTGTAATTGTCGGACTCGCAATTTATAATTCAACTATATTGGATGTGCACTTTCCTTTAGCATGTTATAAGAAATTATTTAATGAACGAGTGGGATTAGAAGATTTAAAAGTTTTCAAACCAGTATGTTGTTGATATTATTAATCTTTGATCATTTGGATATTTATATTAATATAATAATTATGAATGATTATTAGGCACTAGCAAGAGGATTAGAACAACTCCTTACATTTGAAGGAGATGTAGAATCAACATTTTGTCGTGATTTTGTTGTTGCGTACGAAGCTTTTGGTGATGTGAAGCGTGTTCCACTCATACCCGGTGGTTTTGATATACCCGTCACAAATGCCAATAGACAACGTAATTATTATTTTTTATTGATATTATTTTTATTATTTATATATTTTAATTAACGTAAAAATATAATGTATATAATGTAGAATTTGTTGACCTATATGTTGATTTTATACTAAATAAATCAATTTCAAAACAATTTGAACCTTTCAAACTTGGATTTGAACAAGTTTGTGGTGGACATGCTTTATCTGTATGTATGGATTAATGAGTTATTTATACATAATTGTTTTTCAAACGGTTTGATTTCTACATTCTAATTAATTACTATTATTATTTACGCATTCCTTTCATTCACATTCATATCCAAAAGCTTTTTCGACCAGAAGAGATTGAACTTATGGTTAGAGGTAGCGCAGAACCATTAGAAATTGATCATTTAAGATCGGTGACAATATATGAAGGCTTTTCAAAAGATGAAGAGATTATTAAAAATTTTTGGGAAATATTTAAATCAATGGATTCACAAATCCAACGTAGATTATTGACGTTTGTAACTGGTACTGATAGAATCCCTGCAACTGGTTGTGCAAATCTTGCCTTTAAGATTTCTTGCATTGGTGGCGATTGTGAAAGGTAAAAAAAGTTAATAATTGTTTTTTTTTTGTTAGAAAATAATTTTCGAAAGGAAATCGTTACAATGATATATATATATATATGTGTGTTATGTTTGTATAGATTTCCAATTGCTCATACATGCTTTAATCAACTTGGCTTATATCGATATGAATCAAAGGAAAAATTAAGAGCAAAATTAAATAGGGCAATTATTGATAGTGAAGGTTTTTGGTTAAAATGACGGAAATATACTAATTGAAAAAATCTTGAACTTTAAAACTTTTATTTTACATAAAACAATAGTAACAATAATAACAATTTTAATTTTTATTTCGCATTTATTATAAACTTTATTTTGTGAATAGTATATATGTATGTTATTTAGCAGTAGATAATATTATTACATTAATAATAATAGTGTGATAATAATACTAATAATAATTACAATTCCTGGACAAAAGTATCGACCACCCAAGTGCTACAATTTTATATCAATCTGTAGCTTAGGTTCTGAAGATTATGTATATAAACTCGAAATTCTTTTTTTAATTAATAAAGTTCTAGTAACACGATCTATTTTTTGTTAATATCAATTACTCTTATATTAATATAGTAGCTAAACTCATTAGTCTACTTTCAATGCATGCTTGAATTCTTCGGGACATGCCTTCTATCAAGTTTATTAAACCTCAAGTTCATTCTTGTTTTTAAGTTAGGTTTGCATATAATGTTACAATCGTCTGATTGTCACAAAGTTAATAATTATTGTATACATTGAACATGGGGGTGTTAATATGAATGATCAACTGGTCTGGCTGTTACGGTTTTGCGGTTTACGACTTTTACGACTTTAGTATTAGGTTTCGTGCTGAATTTATTTACGCAATTCCGAATTGCTGTAATTCAAAATCACAAAATAAATTTTTTAACATGTGATATATATTTGTGGCTAAAAAAATTCTTTCCTGCAAAATAAAAATAGAAATAAAATTTTGGAGATGGAAAACACTTTGGATGGAAATAAACATCGTGATGATATTTCTACTGACAAAAATGATGATGATGAATATTCAAAGGAAAGAAAAGAAAATTTTGGAGAATGTCCAACCTGTAATAGATATAATACTAACCAGGCATGGTGTCAATCATGCAACCCAAAGATATTAACTGAAGGATGGACTAGTGGCAATGGAACATTAGATGAGTTGATTAAAAGTACACAACTTGAAGCAACAGAGTATTATAATAATCATTATCTTCAATGGATTCCTTATGGTGATTTAACAAATATTGAAAAGATAGGTGAATGTGGTTTTGCGACCATATACAAAGCTACTTGGTTAAATGGTGTGAAATGGATAAAATATGGAGGTAGCACTGTGGCATTAAAAAAACTACATAATTTGCAGAATATTTCCGATGAATTTCTTAATGAGGTAAATTATTTTGTTAATATTATTGATTATTATAGTTGTAGTTAATCTATTATTTGTTATTTTAGTTCAAAAATTATATGAAGCTTCATAATGAAGCATATATAATTCATATTTATGGATTAACACAAGATCCGATTACAAAAGAATATACATATGTAATGAAATATATAGAAGATGGAAGTTATGAAGATTTATATAAAAGAAAACAAAAATATGGGGAGTGTCCAACCTGCAATAGATATAATACTAAATATTCATGGTGTCAATCATGTGATCCAAAGCTATTAACTGAAGGATGGACTAGTGGCAATGAAACATTAGATGAGCTGATTAAAATTACACAACTTAAAGCAAAAAAATATGATAATTATCATCATCTTCAATGGATCCCTTATAATGATTTAACAAATATTGAAAAGATAGGTGAAGGTGGATTTGCAACTATATACAAGGCTATTTGGTTAAATGGAGAGAAAGATGTAGATGATGAAAGTCGCAAAAGAACTAGTGAAGATTTGACTGTGGCAATAAAAAAATTAGATGGCTCACAAAATATTTCTGATGAATTTCTTAATGAGGCAAGTTATTTTATTGATATTAATTTCAGATATTATTGTTGTAATTAAATATTTAATTTGTTATTTTAGTTCAAAAATCATTTGAAGTTTCAAAAAGGACACATAGTTCATATTTATGGATTAACACAAGATCCAATTACAAAAGAATATATATTTGTAATGGAGTATATAGAAGGTGGAAGCCTTCAAAATTATCTAACTAAAGATTTTAACAATTTACAATGGGAAAACAAAATTTATATTCTTCATCGTATTATTACTGGTTTAAAAGATATTCATAAAGAAGAAATTATTCATCGTGATCTCCATAGTGGTAATATTCTTCAAACTAAAAAATTTGGGTGTATAAATATAGCATATATTACAGACTTGGGATTATCATGCCCAGCTAGTCAAACATCTGCATCAAATAAAAATGATATATTTGGAGTACTGCCATATGTTGCGCCAGAAGTTTTAAGGGAAAAACCATATACAAAAGCATCAGATATATATAGTTTTGGAGTTCTGATGTCTGTAATGTCAACTGGACAACAACCATTTAATAATTTGGCACATGATCTAGATCTTGCAGTGAAAATATGTGAAGGTGTAAGACCAGGATTCTCAAACAATACACCAAAATTTTATATTGCATTGGCATTCAGATGCATGGATGCTAATCCAGATAAACGTCCAACTGCTGAAGAAATTCATAAGATTATTGATTTTTGGTATGATGTACTTATAGATCAACTTGAAGATGAATCAATTAGAAAAGAGTTTGATCAAATGGATGAAATAGATTTTGATCCTTCAACAATTACTCCAACAATTCATCCAAATGCTGTTTATACTAGTAGATTATTGAAATTTACAAACCTTCCCCAACCTTTGAATTCCAATAAAGTTACAATTATTGGTAATAATAATGGTAATTATTAACATTAAATCATTGATATTTTCATTTTTTAAAATCTATAATATTAAATCTTAATTTATTAATATCCACTCGTGATAAAACTTTTTTTTAGATTCTCAACAGATTGAATTACCTATACAAGATGAAATACCTGAATAATGTCATTTTATTATGTATTAAAGTTATTTATTATTTTATTTTATTTTATTTGTCACTATAGTTGTGGTATTTTAAATATCTTGAGAAATGAAATTATAGATAATTAATTAATTATATAATGAAATTTTCAATAATTGAGCTCTTGTTCTTTCAGAATCAACATTAATACCATCATATATTAATTTACGAAATAGTTCTTTGGCATGTTCAGATGGTTTTAAGCCTTCTTGTATCAGATGACAAACTGCTAATAATTTACCCTCTTCTTGTCCAACATAAATAAAACTTTTGTTTAATAGTTTCTGCTGCCGCATTCCTTTGAAAACTTTGAAAAAATATATAAATTTATCCAGAATTTTTATTTATTGAAAAATTTTACATAGATACTTGTTGCCAATAACAACCCTTATGGGAACTTTGCCAAAGATTCAACTCCTGATGGCAACGTTGCATTAAATAGCACTATTTGTAATTTTAGATTTGAACATGTTGCAAATATTTCATCTGTTTGTTCCAAAAATCCAAGCTCGAGTAATTTATCTGCTTCATCCAAAATGTAACTTTAATCATAATCATTGTCATCAAACATAAACATACATATCGTATATGCGATATTATTTATTCATTTTTATAGAATTAACAAGTCAAAGTGGTGTGTACTTGTCAAAATATCTTAATAATATAAATAAAATTTAATAATAATATTATGACATGTACCAAATTCTCTTAATTGATGTTTGATTAAAATATTACTATCATTATTATAATCGAAAGTTTGCCATGTCACAGAAGTTGTAGACAATTGCAGAAGTTGCAGTTGTCAAAATTTTTTTGGGGTTGTAACTTCCTTTTAGCGAAGTACGTTTTTTTGTGAAGCGTCGAAAGTGGTTAAGGTACTCATGTATCAGCGTGCTCGAGTTATATTATAACAATGGCTTGAAATTATATTTTTTTTGCAGGATGTAAGACGTATCAAAAATGTATATATTGAAATTTGGCAAGAGAAACTAGAGGTTGGCACCGTTAAAATTAAGAGTTAACCGGTTAACTGGTTAATTTAGTCACGTGGAATTTTTTAACTGGTAAATTCAATCGTTCATTACTTACAAAATAATCACGCGCCTGTTGAATTTTATTATTATACACTTAATAGATGCTAAATGATTACAGTCAAACCTCGCCACAGTGGATTCATAAAAAAATCCGTTATTATTATTATTATTATTATTATTATGACAAGAAGTCCGCAGCGGCAAAATTGGTGATGATTGGGGCAAAATTTTTTTAACAATACAAAGCACTCTCTCTATACCGAAATCTCTGTCTATTATATGCATTTTTCTGCTTTTGTTCATTATAGGGAGAAATTAATTGTAAAAAATTGAATCGGAGACGGACGAAAAAAGAGAAATTCGTTATAGAGAAATTTACTTAGGGAGTAAGTATTATATTATAAATTAACTTTGACAACACAAAATAAACATTATTAAAACATCATTTAATTAAATATTTTTATTTTTATTTCTTTACAATAACAGCTTGTAATCGTAAGTATTATATTATTAATTAACTTTTACAACGCAAAATAAACTTTATTAAAACATCATCTTATTTAATAAATTTATTTAAAAAATAATATAAAAAATTATGTACCATGTATTATTAATCAAAAGTGTTTAATATTTGTACTAATTTTGGACTACTTAAAGTTTCTCTTAATAAGAGATTATACTGATTATTTGCACTGTCTTTGTCTTCCAAATAACAATTACGAACATAGCAAAATGTATTAATCATCATAGACTGGAAAAGAAAATAAATAGAAGGTCAATTGATGTAAAAATAAAAAGATTCAAAATAAAAAATAATACATGATATGTACTTGTGAAGTGTTCATTATATCTAAACCTTGTTGATGGACACTTTTTCATTGATTGCTGCAGGTAAATTGGTTTTTGCCAGGGTTGCCATTAATAAAATACAAATATGGTTAGTGTTATACTAATGGACCCAATGGACCACCAATAGACCATCAATGGACTGCACATTTGCCAACCCTGGTTTTTGCCATTTCATAAAATATATAAAGTCCATCATATTTAATATAGAACAAATACCAACAAACTTCATAGCCTAATATATGGACTCCAAGTAATTTTATTTGTGATATATTGGATGGTTTCAATTTAGTAATGATATCATCTATTGAATCTTTTAAAAATCTGCCAATTCTTACAAAATCAACTGCAGTCTTAAGTAAAGACTAGTGCCGTAATCCAAAAAAAGGAAAAAGTATGGTTGCAAAAGTGGTCACAAAGGTAATTGTGACCACTTTTTATATGCCGTAAATACAATTACTACCATCACCATAATTTACGGCGCTAGTCTTTAGTCTTAAGTTTGCAATTTGTCTTGAGGGGGCTGCTGATTTCTCCAAATAATATTTCTGTTTTAGTAAGTTCATCAACTCACTTAATACTAAAATTGAGGATAATGCTCTATGTTTCCATCAAGTAATAAATAAATAATAATTAAAAAAAAATTACCAGCAAGTTTTTTTACTATATAAAAAATTGAGCACTTACAATATTTCATCATGATCAACTTTAACTTCAAGTCCTTCTGATTTAGCCTTGTCATATGTATTTATTTGATATTTTCTGAACAGATCAGAGAAATTTATATTATTGATGACACACTACAAAAGAAAATAAATACAGTATATATGAAAAGGCACAAAGAGAACCCTTCTTATTCAATGAAATATTATCAAAAAATCATACCTCAGATCCACTCTTGTGCACAAAATTCTTTGCAAATTCTTTATCCTCAATCCAAATTTTTTTCAATTCAACTTGTTCTGATAATTCATCTTCTGTGATCAGTTTCTCTTCTATATAATCAAGATCATCATCATCTGTATCATAATCTTTTGGAGTATTTGTATTAAAGACTAGTGCCGCAAATTAGTAATTGTATTTACGGCATATAAAAAGTGGTCACAATTACCTTTGCGACCACTTTTGCAACCATACTTTTTCCTTTTTTGAATTACGGCACTAGTCTTTAATTTGTATCATTTGATAATGCTGTTTCTGTTTCAGTTTCGGTTTGTGATCTATAAGCAAATACAATTGATTAACCAACAAGAACTATTAAATAACTAGGGCTTGAACTAACGAAATAACAACAATAACAGTTATAATAATACTTACGATGAGGCTTCTGCCGCATTATTTCTTTGTTTTTTTTTTGTATACTGTAAGAATTCTCGTCTGTAACATATTTTTGCTTTCCCTGTGTCAACTCTGGTTTCTTCTTCGGTGTTCGGTTGTTCATGATTTTCATAAACTCGTTTTTGCCCAACATTACCAATACAACCAATTTGTACTCCATCACAACTAATGATGTATGAAGAAACTTTTGACTTTAGTCATTAACGTGACAAAAGTATTGATTAAAGGTGGTTTCTCGCCAAGGGCCATTTTGACGAAAATAAAAATTGTTGATGAAAGTAAAAATTGAAATTGAAATTTTTTTTTGTTTTATATATTTATATATAAACTAGAGTAATGACAACCACCACCACCATCCTTAAAACACTTACCCATGATCTTCAGCAATGCCTTTTCCTTTTCTTCTTTTTCTTCTATCATGCTGGCTGTTGTTCATATTTTTTTATTTTAAAAAAAAAAAAAAAAAGAAAAACAAACATGTAAACCAGAGTTGTGCAATTTCGCTGTACGAGAAGAATCTTCGTACGTACGTACGTACGTACATACGTACGACTGACTTCGTACCATTGAGTTCGTACAGTTTCGTTGTGGTCGTACGTACTAGTCGAACGATTTGTCACATTAAACGATTGGGAAGTGTATTTTCCGAAATTTTTTGGTGATCAACGTCGAAATTCTATTAATAAAATTAGCCATAAACCTTAATTTTAACCCTTTTTTGCTCAGCAATCTCCACCAAATTTGAGACACAGATTTTTTAAGACTTATTCCTTCTTTTAAAAAAAAATTAGGAGAGATTATTAATAAAATAGTAAAAAATCTTGGTGTTAAAGTTTGTCAACCAAATTACCGCATTTGGAAATTAATTATCTATTTTTGGTCATTATTCCTGATAATCTCCTGCCTACATTTTTTCCTTTTTGTGTATTGATAAATAAATTTATCAAAATTTAATATGTTTTTT